GGGGGGGGGAGGGGAGGAGGCAGAAACGCGCGATTAACATCAAGCGGAGATGATGACCTAACCGAAAATATACGACGGCTAATATCGTTCGTATTAGCTTTACTTATTCCTCTCGATCGACGACAAATTCGTTATCTCGATATAAGACGTGACTCACAAAGATAATTTTATTGCAATCTCCTTGTGCGTTGTAGATATATCTCGAGTAGATATTTTCTTATAATAATTATATTACTCGCATGCGCGCCCCGCTCGGCGTATGATATTTCCGGCTCTATATTCTTGATTTCGCAGTAAATTTCTCGGTAAAACCCCCATCTTTTAATATTCCGATAAAGAATTTTTCTAATAGGGACATAACGGAATATATTAAGATCGGCGCGATTACGGAAAGTCGAGCCGCGCCGATGAAATCGGCCCTTTCCCGACGTTCGCAATGATTTCCGAGATATTCCTCGACTATCCGTTGTATGTATTAGCCAGCCGCTAACCAATGACTCACGTGGAATCGCAAACGAGTGGGTGTGCAGTTACTTACGTTGTATACTTATACTCGTACTCGGTTAGGGTCGGTCGCGGTCGCGCGGGATCATATGCCTTAATAATGAGATGCGCGCAAAGAAGCTTTTTTTCTTTCTCTGCTTCCTCTCTTTCCGTTTTTTATTATTATCTTCAAGAGCAAAGCGGTTAATATTTTGTTCACGAGAAGAAACGATGAGAAACGTGGATTAATTATGTAATAATTATTATAATATAATGTAAGTTATTAATTGGTATCGTGGCTAATAGAAAAAATACTCTATGAAAGTAATGGTAATTTGTGTAATTAAAGTACGATAATTTTTTTAAAACCATTTATTTCAAGAATTATCGTAGAAATTATTTAACGGGTACTTTTGACATCTTAATGTTATGATGAGTCGAATGAGGAATTTATAGACAGGAAATTTTTTATCTTCCGCAGATCTTTTTTCCTTCTATCTTCTTTTTTCGCCTGGTATTATGTAACTTGAAAAAAAAAAAAAAAAACTATGGAACACTTACACGTTGATCGATTGCTTCATATTTTAAACATAGAAATACAACTTTATTAAATATTTGCAAATATTGTTACCGCTATTATTTATGCTCGAATACATTGTAAATTTTCTTAAGCATACATTAATTGTAATTTTCTTCATTATTTTATTCTTTGATAATCATCATCAGCTCGCAGCATTCATGTAATGATAAAATAATAATCGTGGTTTAGAAATTGCCATTCATTTCATTATTGGCCAGAAGTCTTTTACAAAAATTAAAGCTTGTTAAAGATAAATCACTAATGTATACAAAACTTGGAATAATTT